AATAATATAATGTTTCTGAGGCAGCAAAGGGCGCAATATTGTCCAGCTTGGTTATATGTTCTCCACAAAACAATATAAAAAATTAAAAAGGGAATGTAAGAAGTTTATGGCATCATAAGGTAAGAAAATGGTAGGTAAAGGCCGGAATAATCAAATATGGTTGCAAGCACTTGAGTTTAAAAAGAAAAAAGAAAAAAAACAAACAGTATAGAAAACAGTCCTCAGCTTGTGGGCTGCAATACTCCCCATATCAATTCTTCTTTTATGAAATTTCTAGATGCCGTATATCTAGCAATCCTCAACATTCAGAAAAGCAACGTCAGCTGGAAATATAGAGAGGGAGAGAAAAAAAAACAGAAATAACAAGAAGCTTAAAACTCTCAGCATATCACAGTACAGAAAATAATAAGCAAAAAGGACTAACTTGGGGCTAAGAGTATATATTCATAGTACCATTAACTGAAATGTATTCGTAAGCAGGATAACTGCCCACTTACTATCCACTTTGTTATAACATTCGACGATAACAACCTTCAAAATATAGTAACAAACAGATTAAAATTTAGAATTTCTGGTACATAGAAATGGCAATGGAAACAAACATCGACAGTTCCAACCTCACATAGTATAAGCATAACTTTGACTTCTGATCACCTTATAGATTGATGACCGTGTAATACTTTCCATAATGAAGCTTGCCTTTCTTTTCATAACAGTTAACATGATGATATGATTAATCCATGTGATCCTGTCTCCGACTTAATTAGCATAAACCGTTTAGTCTTATATGGTTATTATTATAAAATAATCACATACGGGTGACCAATTTCTGCAGAAAAGGGAGGGCAAACAAAATTAGATCGGCACAAGTTTTATATGAGGTGTTTGTCTCATTGGTGATTGATGAGAGCATTAACATATGAAGTCACCTCATTAGGACCACATTTCAGAGGCCTCTTTCAAGAAGAAAATAAAGGGAGTACATCTTAATAAATCAAGAAGAGAATGGTGGAACTAACGATGCACACATTTGGGTGAACCCAAGTCTGTAGTTGAACGAGAGAAAAAACAAACTAAAGATGAACTCTCAGTTTTCCAGAACTTTTGTCAGGACAATTTTATCCACTCCAATTTTTACTTTCATTTGTTGGCCTCTCTTACCCCATATGTAACTCTTCTGATTTCTGACCTTCATGGTCAATGGTTCCCTGACATAATATAATTTATTAACGTAATATAAAATTCTATCCATTATGCTGTAGATGAAACAAAGGCGAAGTAAATCTTAAATTCATTATGCTATCTCATAAATATTAATCATTGTACAAACTAACAAACATAAAATGTAGTGAAAAAATCAACAAGGTTGTCCAAAGCTTTTAAGGGTCTGGATTAGATGATCTAAAAGGAATACCAGATTATAATCACGTAATGTTCATAATGAGTAGTCAATGCCAAATATTCTGCAATGAAAGTGAAAGATAATTCAAGCTGTGGCATTGAAAAAGATTAGATATTTGGGGAAAGTATATATTCTGCAGACAGGAATAGCTTTAAAAAATGGCACCAAGATTGTACGAACAGTCCTGTGTGCCTGGCTCAAACTTGAATCAAGGGGTTTGAAATTGATCAAATAACAATATCATCAATTTGCTTAAATTGTACAAGATATGTCCCCTATTTGAATCAAAATGTTCCACGTCCTCTGGGTTTCTCGAGGCTATACGAGCCCAGAGGCTACTTACGAACCTCATAAAATAATGAAGTTCAAAACTTGTAAAGTTACACATACTTGCACAGGAGTTAAACATGCATCCATAACTCATAGAACACAAGACAACAGAAAAGATCATACAATCCAAAGAGACCCTTGACATCAAATTGACTGAAAATCCTCAAAAAACTGAATATCTACTGCATTATAGTACCTATTCCTTCACTACAGAAAAAAAATGGTGTAATTTTAACCATTCTAACCACTGATACCAGAGAGAAGAATAAGAGCACAATAAATTTCAATAAACGGCTCATGTTTTCTTTCATTCATAACAACACTGAGGGCATTTCTTGCAACAAACATCTTCAAATGGCCCAGCCGCAAAAAGGCAAAACAATTTTCCGAACAAAGAATTTAATACAATTAATTCCACACACAACAAAGTATCAATTATTTCTTTTTATATCTGGCTGTATAATGTATTTTCTTTGACTAAGAATCTTGATCCAAATGCGGATTGCAGTCTTTAGAGTAGAAATCATTCTTCTCAATAAGAGCTCTCAACATATCAAAAGTAAACTCCGAGCTGTTAGGATCACTGGTAGGTGACTCACCGGATGAATCCAGAGTGCGCGGCTGCCCAAAGCACGAGCAGCCCCATCTACTCCCGCCGCCGACAACCCTCCTTCCCGAACACCCGGGATTTACGTAAATGCCCCTCTTCTTCCTTTTCCTCAGCCGCAAGAAAGACAATCTCCGGCTCTTTTTCCCGCACCCTTTGCAGTTCTTCTCTTCTGCGTTCGTGGACCCCTCGCCTTCTTCGTATTCGCCGTCATCAGCCTTTGTCTTCTGTTTATCGGACATCAAAATCCGACCAAACCGATAATGTGTCCGATCAATAAATCACTAGGATTATTGGCATGGCACCCAAATGTGGTGGCATATGATTTAACGGACAAAATTGATGGCAAATGAATTATCGATTTCTTGTTTTCGACGAAATTGATGACCCTTTTATAAGACTGTATATATCAAGGGATCGAAAAGATTGTGAAAAGGTGATGATTTTTTTTTATTTCCGTGATGATAAGAAATGATTAGAAAAATAGTTTAGCAAAATTGTGAGAGATGATAAAGCTATTTCTATGGCTAATTATAAACGCCCAAATTATTGGGGTTCAAATCAAACACACAAGCCAGCTACAGATGACATTTTGAATTGGATTTTCTTATGGGGAGGCCAACTGGACTGCTGACACGTGTCTGTCTCATAAATTTCATTCATCCCTGCGTTGCATTCGGTCTAGTCTTGCGTGACATGTAAATAAACTCAAGTCTTAGATGACATGAATATGTATATGTGACATGTAAATAAACTCAAATCTTAGATGACATGGATAAAACTATGTAAAATTAACAAAATTCACTCCAATGCAAAAGAGACTAGGTCTCTACTTGGGTCTAAAATAGACTTAGGGGTAGACCGGGTCTCTTTTTCTGGCTGCTACATCAGCAGGACCCAGTCTACTTTTGTTTGCATTGAAGAACACATTTTTTTAGACTAGTCTATTTCTTAGGTGATGTTGATACCAAGATAGAATATCTTGAAATTAAGATTAGATTAAAGAAATCGTGAAGTCTAACCCGTAAACTGGATCTTGGACGACGTAAAGCAGAATATATGGCACCTCGGTAATCTAGTCTCGGAACTTGTAGATGGTACCGCAAATCTTCGAAAGTCGTCCACACAAGTCGTCAAAACCTTGAAAAGACCAACTCGGTTGAAAAATAATTTATCAGGAAGTCGTAGAATGCTGAAAGTTTATCAGAATACCGACACCATAAGACGAACCGACTTCGATCCGACAGATGTGACACCCGTCACACAGATAGAGGCACGCCCATGCTGATCATTACCTAAAAAGTTCATCTACGTCATCGCCGCCCCTAAGATGTCAAATCGTCATTAAAACGGAAATGATTTGTCTAGGGAAGTGTGCCAAGCATAACTATAAATAGCAGTTTCGAAAACAATACGAGGATTCGGCAAAAAGTCTTAAACACTCATATATTTAACTCGGTTATTTCATTGTTTACCGACTTGGCGTATATTGAAAAACCGACTTACCAGTACTGTAAACGACTTCAAAAGTCTTCAATAAAATCTCATTTTCTACAATCTTTGTGTTAATTTTTATATTGATTACGTTGATTCAATCCGTTTATCAACATTTTGGCGCTAGAAGGAGGGCTCCATAAGATATTTGGAGTTAATTTTCGAAATATACACACCACATCTCATAAAATCAAGAATGTCGCAGTCCGGACAAGACAATCCAACAACCATGGGAAGCGCCATTCGTGTTGTTGAACCACCAACCGGTCAACATAATCCAGTACCTGTGATGCCGGACATTACCCTGCTCATGCAGAACCCGGAATTTGCTCGTGGACTCACTGCTTTGTTGGCCCAAACCATGCCGGGGCCATCACACAGGATACCGGGGCAACCTTTTGCTCTTATAACTCCGGCGAGACAGCAAGGTCCTCCCATACAAAGGGATAACAACAATCAAGCGACGTCCCATGCCACTTCACAGCCACGTGACAATAATCCGCCCCCTCCACCGGCGAACAACGTATTGCCGGCAGAGATGAACCAGCCTGAAATGAATCAACCGGAGATGGTTGCTGAAAAAATGAATCAACCGGAGATGGTTGCTGAAAGTCATCCCCGGCATGTCCCCAGAATTCCTCATGCAACTCGCTCGTTGTTTCAACAAACCGAGAATCCGGTTGACCTGAGAGCGCAAATTGAACGTAATCGTTGCGCTCGACGTAACGCTTCCGAGGTCGAGGCGTTAAGAAGAAAGGTGGCAGAATTGGAAGCCCGACAAACCACTCAAATGAGGCCTTATCAGCATCCTCACGTGCCAGAATCGGGCCATGTCTATATGGAAGTCGGTTCTCCTCTGGCAACCGAGTTGACCAGAGGTCCATTGCCTGGAAAAGTCAAGATCCCCCAAATTGGCCTCTACGACGGAAACGCTGATCCTGATGCTCACCTCGGACATTATACGTCATGGATGGACTTGCATGGTGCTGACGATGCTCTACGGTGTCGTATGTTTTCTTTGACCTTAGGTCCTAAAGCTCAGAAGTGGTACTATTCACTACCGACTGAATCGATCAGATGTTGGGGTCAACTCAGATCGGCTTTCAGGTCCCATTTCATCGGGGCCCAAATTAGCTTAATACCTAAGGAGTCAATTACGAATATAGTCCAAAAGGAGGATGAAAGTTTAAAAGATTATATTGCACGTTTTAATGAACGCGTGCAAAACATGGAACCTTGTCATCCTGAGACTCTCCTTGTCTCAGCGATTTCAGGATTAAAACCAAGATCCATGTTTCGTTGGGCGTTATGTCAAAACAAACCAAGCACCTTTCAAGAATTCCTTGTTCGCGCTCAACAGCATGTTATTGCCGAGGAGTCCATGTCGGTTCCTAACTTTGAGTTCTCCCCATCAAAAGAGCAGAAACCAACTTTTGAAAACAAGAAAAAGAAGCATCTCGGTAACTCGTCCAAGAGTTTACCTTTCAGAGAACCCTATAAAGGTGAACTGAACGATACCGACATAAAAGCTGCCAGGAGACAATACAAGGAAGATTTGACCACAGGTTACCGATCCATCTACTCGGTCGGTGCCGCAACGGTTTATCAAGAGATTAAGGGAAAAGGAATCATTCTTGAAGCCCGACCAGTCAAGACTCCTGAAAGTCAGTTGGACAAGTCACGGTATTGTGATTACCACCGATCTCCAGGTCATAACACCGATGAATGTTTAAGTCTATTGTCGGCTCTCCTGAAGTTGATAGGAAATCCACAAGTGAGAAAATTTACCAAACATGAAGGTAAGGAAAGGCGACAAATAGCTCATATTCCTGACCGAGATGAAGAAGACGAAGACGCAATGAACTCCAAAAGAATTCGTCTACAACAAGGAGAAAAGGAGATATTCATGATCGGGGCCGAAGGATCCAGGTCGGTTGATGACCGACTTGGGAAGAGTGGAAAGAGAAATAGGGACTTCGAGAGTCCCAACGCCGACCACACTCCTCAAATCCCGATTCGGTTGGGTTCTGTTCCCCGAATTAACACTAACCGAGAAGAGTTGACGTCTTCACGTCGGCAGGCCAAAGCATATGCTACAAGGGCATACAACTCGGGGAAACAAATAATGAATACCGACCTGAGGGAAACAATTAACTCACGCACGTGCCCGATCACTTTCACATTAGAAGATGCGAGCTTGTTTGATCACCCCCATTCCGATGCGTTGATCATAACCGCCCCAATTTGCGGAATTCCAGTTCATCGCATAATGGTGGATACCGGCGCATATTCCAGTATCATCATGCTTCAAGCCTTTCGGAAGCTTGGACTTGACTCAGCTGATGTCCGTCCATGCAATGATAAGATACACGGATTTAACGGGAGCGTATCCCTTCCGTTGGGAGAAATCACTCTCCCTATCAGGTTTGGACATGGGCAAACTTCCAAAGTTATCATGGAAAATTTCAAAATCATGGACATCAACAACAAATATAATGCTATCATCGGAAGGACAGCCCTATACAAATTGCGAGCCGCAGTGTCCATTTTTCATTATGCGATCAAGTTTCCAACCGCTGACGGTGAAGGGACTCATTACGGCGATCAATTAGGAGCTCGTGAACTAATCTTAGCAATCCCTTCTCGAGAAATCCATAACTTGGAAATGCACGTCGAGGAAGAAGAAGAGATGATCGACTGTGCCCAAGTTCCACGAAGTTCGATTCCGGAAGACGTTCAAAATACCGACCTCAGGATCGTTACAGCTCTATCGGATGTTCAACCGACATCAACGGTTCCGACTTCAAACCCTTCTAGAATTCTCACAACTCTGTCAAAAGCTCAGCCGACACCAACGGTTCCGACTTCAAATCCTTCCAATCTAGACGAACTTGTTGGAGAAGATCTTACCCGAGATAGAGGAAGGAGACCCGAAAAAGAACCAGTTGTGGAAGAAGACGAGCTAGATCCGAGAAGTCAATTTAAGGAAAAAAAGCCAGAAAAAAGAGCCAAACCATCTGAAGAAACAGAAGTCATATATGTTGATGAACCTATCTGTGACAAGCAACTTCGCATTGGGGCCAACCTCCAAGAACCTATTCGAACCAAACTCATCTCGTTTCTGAAGTCCAATGCCGACGTCTTTGCCTGGAGGCACGAAGATATGAAAGGAATAGACCCGAAGGTAGCCTGTCATCGACTCAACATCGATCATACTATCAAACCCGTCATCCAGAAAAGAAGAAAACTCGGTCCAGACCGACAACAGGCCTTAGAGGAAGAAGTCAACAAGCTCATTGATAACAAATTCATCAAAGAAGCCAAATACCCGACTTGGATATCCAATCCCGTCTTGGTGAAGAAAAGCAATGGAACGTGGCGCCTTTGCATTGACTTCTCCGATCTCAACACTGCCTACCCAAAAGACAGTTATCCATTACCTCATATCGACTACATGGTGGATGCTACTTCTGCTCATGAGTTGATGAGCTTCATGGATGCCTATTCAGGATACAATCAAATTCCAATGGATCCTGAGGACGCTGAACACACTTCTTTCTACTCAGCCAGGGGCCTATACTGTTACACCACCATGATGCCATTTGGATTGAAAAATGCCGGAGCCACTTACCAAAGGTTGGTTAACAAGATGTTTTCTAGATTGATAGGACGAACCATGGAAGTTTATGTAGATGATATGCTTGTAAAGTCGGTGAACGCCGATGATCATGTAACTCATTTGAATGAAATGTTTGGGATTTTACGTGATTATTCCATGGTGTTAAATCCTAAAAAAATGTACGTTCGGGGTAAAGTCGGGGAAATTTTTAGGTTATGTAGTCAGTCAAAGAGGAATAGA